CTTTCTAACAGTCTCCACATGCTATTGGACAACGTGATGTACCGCTGTGGATGTCATTAAACGAGGCAGTGTGCCATACATTGTTGTAGAAGATGCAAATACATAGTTTTTCTAAATAATGGTTTTAAGCAGTGGTGTAGTTTTTGGTAGTGGCTCAGTCAAAGTGACATCCTGCACACCAAACCGTGCTGTGATTGGCATGCAACCTGATTGGTCAGGGCAGCGGAGGTACCAACTGAGCGTGGCTAGAGCGACATGCCGAGCAAAAAAATTTAGCTTCTCCAATTATCTTTCTAGATTTCTAGGCTAGAGTTCTTGTTAATCTTTGACTTACTGAGTGGCCAATAGTGACTTGTCTCACTCATCCTATATAAAAATTACATAAATAAATATTAAATATAGCAATTAAGAATGTTGATGCATTTGAAAATTATGAATCTTATTACTTGAAGCAAAAACTCTCACATTGAAGAGCTTTTATTGCTAGCATGAAGTTGGACTTGATTATCCTGAGTTCACAGACCCAATAAATAAATAAAAATCCCAACTTTTGAGTTTTAGACCAAGCTGATCGATTGGTGAATCTTCATTTTAAAAAGGACCCATGAGACATTACTATTTTGGTCACTAAAACCTAGTAAACATTGTTGGAGACATTCATAGATGGAGCTAAAATAACTTGGTGGAGTCAGAGTTTGTGTATTAAAATGCTGCTTGAGCTTTTTATAGTCGTGCCCTTCCTTTCTCCTCTTTTTATTTTGTGTTGCATATTTGTGAATCACTTGATATGGCACCTAGCCACTGTTGTCTGCCTTCGTTTATCGTAGTCTGTTGATTTCACTCTGTGACTCACGCCAATGCAGCTCTCACTGCTCTGGTTGAGAACACAGTTTTGAAAAGTCACATTTAAATCCCTATAGTGATGTCAATAAGTGCTTTGCAGGACTGGTGAAATTCAAATAATGTGTTCTGAACATCTCATCTCTTATTCTGATCGTTTATCTGAAATCAGAAATCTGAAAGTTTGATGTTTTTGTACTTATGATGAATATCTGAGTTGCTGTTTTGCAAAACTTGCATCTGATGACGAGATGAAAATAAATTTTTTTCTTTCTATTTGGGTCAATTTCTCCTCACTATCATCCATAAATAGCTTATTATTGAAGTAGACATTGTTTGACTTGATGGGATTTTGATGATGAAATATACAGATTTTAGGATTTTAGCTCATAATTTGGTTAGAAAGTATTTTTACTGGAAAAAAGAAATCTAAAACAAGGTTAGTGTTTTGTTTGAGATTCTTTAATTCCAGGCAAAATTTTGCTAAACTTAACAATTTTTATAAGGTTTTCTATTTTTAGATAATTTATTATTTTGTGGGATGACAACAAAAATATTTATTAAACAGTTGTAGGCAGCAGATTTATAGTTGCGATGTCACAATAGGCAACCACTGTCCAGCTGCTCCATTTTTCCTTGTTCCTCGCTGCGGTCAGTGTGTTGGGGAAGGGTCGGCTCTTCAATTTTTTACAAGCATTCCTCTGTTGCTTCATGTAAGCTGATATTCTGAAGCTGTGGAGAACCTGCAGTTGTTTTGTTTGAGCGTTTTCTCTCAGAGTTCTAGTGTTGCTCTGCAGATAACAGGCTAAATATAGAGGCGAGTGGAGGGACTGATGGCTCAGGTCATTATACTCCAGTCAATAAGGACTTTAAGCCTTTAGTTGGTTTAAAAACAAAAGATGTTTGTTTTTATTACTTTTAGTTATAGTGTTTGTGCTCAGCGAGGTTCTCAGTTGGAACAAACTGTTTTACTGAGTAAATATTTTCTTTTCTTGTATAATTTAAAATCAGTTTCGCATTCGATTTTCTTTAACGTCTACGATGACTTTGCTTTTGTCGTGAAAGCTTGGTGTATGCTTCATCGGCGCGAGTGCGGAGTTGTGCACTTTAGTTGACTTGAAAGCTCAACTTCTCTTTTAAAAATGGTTTGAATGTTTCTGATGGCACACATTAGTTCAAACAAGCTAAAGGTGTCGGATTGCGTGCGTCTCTCTCACGGAATTGACGTTTTAGTGAGGAAAAACTGCAGACGGCTTCGGAAAATGTGCAGCCAGCCTGCCTTGGTAATGCAGGGAAAGCTGTGTGCTTTTTTTTTATTTGATAAAGTTAAAAACTATTTCTACCTACAGATTTCCTCTATGCATTTTTGGAGTAGAACATCTTTTTATAAAGCTCCTCTAGATAAAAATCACAAGCACAAGTTGCTTCACAAACACATAAAAAAAAAAGAATGGGAGAAAATATGAACAGCTTTAACTGAGAACAGACATACTGAGAACCTTCACAGACAACAGCTTTAACTGTTTTTATTGTATGATTAAATAGTAAACATTAATTTGAATGATTTGTTGTACTGGATCAGAATCTAGACCATCTTTTCACTTAATCTACAGGATGGCTTGGCAGGCTAGTGTTCGACCTTTGTTTGCAGAAAATCGTGAATTGAAACGAAATCACAACTTCTGCTAGAAAAAATGCAATTTAATCTTTTCCTAAAATCATTCAGCCGTACTATACGCAAGGGCGCCCCCAAGGGGTGGTGAGGGGTGGCCATGGCCCCAGTAATAGCCAGTGTTAACAAATCTTATTAATGTTCAGTCAAACCATATATTAATCTTGTTTATTCAAGACATAATTGTAAAACAAAATAAAAATATTACAATTAATGAGTAAAGAATCAAAATTAAAAAATATAAATATGTCTCTGCTGCTCACCATTTTAGAAAAGTTTTTTATCTCCATAGTTTTTTTTTAGTTTTTTTGTGAACACTGCAACACAGGTGAATAAACCTAAAAAAATTTTTTTAATGAAATTTGGGGTAGCATTTTAAATAACTGAAATGTATTTTTCTAAAATGTTTGTATTTGTAAAATTTAAGTTAAATGTTTTGGATATGTACTGTTATTTTAATAAAAATGAATAAGGGTGCAATGCAGTACATCCCCACAGGCTGAATTCTCCCAGAGTTACCGCAAGGACCAATTTGGTGTGCCACCCCAAAAATTTCTCTGGCCTCATCTGGCCACCCTTATCAAAAATTTCTGGAGGCGCCCCTGACTATACGGCCATTTTTAAAGCAGGATTGGATTTCCTTTGTAGGAAACCACTCATTGTTTCTGAGTGTGTGGCACAAATCTAAAGTTTCAGCCGTCACATAGTTAGTTATCAATGGTGTCATTGTTGGTGTAGTGATCAGCCTACAACTTTAATGAACTGTAACTTAAGCTTTAAGCAGAAGACTCCATCATGAATGATGCATCTCGGCTTTAGTTGTGCTTCTTTCTGTTTGTTATGTTTGTTATGTTACAAAAGTTGCTGTAAAAATTCCAGAACTCAGCTTGTGAATAAATAACTGGTTTGTTTTTGATGCAGAATTATTTCTCAGACGTTTTTATCAATGAAAAAAATTAACAACTCACATTTGTATTCAGGTTTTCTCCTGATGCTGCAAAATGCAGCTTTGATTAATATCAAGGAAGCTGATGCACTACTTTAAACCCAACTAGTTCATCACTGTCAGCTCTTATGCTGAGTCTAACAGCTGCTGCAGGGATCTCATATTCTTTCTAAGCCTCATTAGGTGAATGTTATAAAGCAACCCTACATCTAACAGGACTAAACTCTCGCTGTGTCTCTAAACCTGTACAGTGCTTTTGTTGGTGCTGGAGTAAAAGAAGAACTTGATGTTTATTTTGTTTTCTTTTAATGACACATAACTGCACACTGGCATATCAGCAGCAAGGGAACATACAAGAGAATAAGAAACTACGTCATTAAAATACAAAATAAAGGTGAAATATTCACCGTCTGTAGTGTGGACATTTGCCTCAAATTGAAACGTGACCACAGAGACTTTCAAAATTAAACAGCATATTTACCAAGCAGTTTCACTGATAAACCATTTTTACCTATTATTTTCTGCATTATGGCTTCTGATAACATAATAGACTGATCAACACTCGGTTCAGAAAATCCTGACTGATCTACTTCACATTGTTAGCATTCATGGACTGCCGCTTTCTCCTCCGGCTGACTCCTGTGTCCTCAAACAGGAGCAGCTGAGCTTTTCTCCCCAGAGTTTGACTAACAAGGAAATCATGCCTACTAGAGACCACTGCAAATGTATTAAAACATGAGTAAACTTGAGCTTTAAGTATCAGAAATAATTATAATTAATGTACAGTGTGACCAAAAATCCACACAAAAGCAACAGAAAATGAAGAAAGCCAATATTAACACTGTGGTTATGGTTAATTAAGATCAGATGGGTGTTACATTATGAACATTACTCTGTCTAAAGATCTTCTAAAATACTTTTGTGGTCCATTTTTCTAACTTTTGGCTTTGATATATTTCGAATGTGAAAGTTTTTCTTAGTGATGCACCGATATGAAATTTTGGGTCAATACCAATATTATATTAAGATCACTGTTATGGCCGATGACCGATATTTGCCAATTCTGATATACTGACATTAATGCTTCTAAAAGCAGCAGATTTTGTATAGAATGAAGAGTATTAAAGTTGAATTTACGTTACACATAACACACACATTTACGCTTCTGAGATGATTACAATCACTGTCGCATGACTAAACATATACAAATGGAAAGAAGATGGAAAAAATATCGGTTTTTATTGTCTGCCCAGTTTTATTTATCGGAGCGATACCGATATGTTAAAAAAATGTCTGACATCTGCCGATACCAATATTGATGTTGATATATTGTGCATCCCTAGTTTTTCTGGTATCCATTCTTGTTTATATATCTTACCTACAGTATATATATATTTAATTGTTTCTCTGATGTCCATAGTTAGTTTATTTTTCACATTTTTGCTAAGATTCTGCCCCTTACATGTTGAAAATCTAAATTTGAGCTTTATTAAATGACGTGCAATCACTGTCTTTGATACTGAGTTTTCTTTTTTCCACCAGATGGCCTCAGCGACAGCAACATATGGGCAGAAGGAGGCTTCTGATCAGAACTTTGACTACATGTTCAAGATCCTTATCATTGGCAACAGCAGTGTGGGCAAAACGTCCTTCCTGTTCCGCTACGCCGACGACTCGTTCACACCGGCTTTCGTCAGCACGGTGGGAATCGACTTCAAGGTGAAGACAATCTACAGGAATGACAAGAGGATCAAACTACAGATCTGGGTAAGATTACCAAAGTCTGAAGGAGAAGTGTGTTAAATTTATGATATATTAGTTACACAGATTAACACTTGAATTAATATGGTGCTTTCGGAATTTTATTTGTTGCATTGAAATAATATATATATATATATATATATATATATATATATATATATATATATATATATATATAGTTTTTAAATGCTTTTGTAAAAACTAGGTCGTGTCCAGTAAGAGGAAATAAAACAATCAGAACAAGCACAACAGAGAAACATTACATAACTAGTAATTATAAAACCAAGATTGAACACATAAAACACATAAAATCCAGTTACAGGGAATAAGCAATCTTGAACTGGTGAGTTTTGAGTTTGGCCTTGAAACTGTGAAGGCTAGTGGTATTCCTGAGTTCAGCTGGTAATGAATTCCACAGGGAAGGGACATCTGCTCCCTGTGAGGGGACATCGACTTCCCATGGTGACAAGATGAGCAGGGAGATAGTGCAGGTTGATGGAAATGGAGGATCTGATCATTTGGGAGGGTATATACTTGTAAGAGCTGCGAGAGATATGAGGGGGCAATGTTGAGAATGGTCTCATATGTTAGGTGTAAAATTTTGTAATAGATCTTGTGATCGTGAACGTCATCACCGACGCAGCCGCCATTGGAGGTGTGTGAATCCTTACTTGTTGCATGTTTCTACTGTAAACAGCGCAACAGCATGTTCACTCTCATTCTTGTGGCTTAAATTATTCTATTATTCATTTGATCGGTTATATTACGCAACTCTAGTAAATCATTGCTGTGTTGTGGGGTGACACACGTGATCGCCTGGGGAATAAAGGTGGAAAACAAGGTAACTTTTCACCGTTTTCCTGCTTAGAGGCAAAACCACGGAGATCAAGTATCTAGCATAAAACAGTCTCATCACCTCACTTGGATCGCAGCTGTAAGGCTGCATCCATCACCTTCAGGAGTGTTTTTATTCTGGTAAGTTACAGATGACGTACGTTTTTTATACATCGTTTCTTTCCTTCAACCGCGACATGCACACGAAACACACACACACGCACGCACGCACACACACACACACACACACACACACACACACACACACACACACACACACACACACAGGCTACACGCATATACCGGTAAGCTAATGCGGGTGCGCTGACACACAACACGACTTCTCTTGCTACGCTTCTTCTGTAAGATGACAATTTTGAGAAAAACCAACTAATAAAACGTTTACCTCATCCAGAAGTTTACATCCGCTTACACCACAAACAAGAAAGCCGAAAATGTCCATTACGCAGAACTGCAGCAGCAACAAAATGTCATCGGTGTTCCGGTCTTGGGTCTTTCATATGGATCAAAAACATTTATAATGCTGATTTTGTCCACATCCCGGTCCCCGACATCTTTATATAACGCATCCCTGTGTGTTCCGCATCCTTTTGGGGACTTTATAATGTGGTTTAACACTTTCTTTCACCCAAATCTTGCTTCTTTTCTGCAACAGTTCCGTTTGTTTCAAGGTCTGTTTACACTCGTCAGCCTTCCAACATGGCCGCGCACATCCCAGATTGCTATGTGTAATCACGTGTGATCACAAGCCCTATAGAATTGGTAGCCAGTGAAGCTGCTGGACAACAGGGGCGGCGTGATCAGTGGAGGGTGTTTATGTGATGATACAAGCAGCAGAGACTTCTGTGGCAGGAGCCTGGCCAGCCAGACTCGTCCTTTGTTTTACTTTACACAGAGAACTAGTCTGGTTACTCACAGGCAGAGAGGCACGTGAGGGGCGGGGCCAGCTCAAAAATCACCAATTTGAAAAAATGCGGCAATGCCGACTGTACCACGCAACGCTATAGTTTTTGAGCTGAGTCAAAAATGGTGTCTGGCGATGGCACAAACATCTTTCTTTAGAAGAAAGGCTTTTAGTGCTTCTTCTTGCTGTTCTTGGGCTGACTGGCCAGGCTACTGTGGCAGAGAGATTTACAGTAGTCTAGGCAAGAAGTGACCAGACTGTTTACTAAAATAGCGGTGGAGTGAGTAGTCAGAGATGGAAGTCAATATTTAGCAGGTGGTCGTAGGCTGATTGAGTGACACAGGTGATAGGGTAGTAGGACAGGGTGCTGTCCAGAATTTCATCAAGGTCCTTAATCTGATCTAGGCAGGTAACTGTACTGTTTTCTATTGCTATTAAGAACTTAGTGGCTTTCCCCAGTGCTGATTTTGTGCCCATGAGAAGTGCTTTGGTTTTGTCAGAGTTCAGCTTCAGGAAGTAGGTAGAGAACCAGGTCTTAATCTCTGCAAGGTATTCAGTTGGTGAGGATGGTGGAAGCATTGTAGATGGTGCAGTTGAAATATTTACAAAGTATCATTGGCGTAACAGTGAAAATTAAAGCTGAATTTATGAAAGACTTAACCCAAAAGGAGCAGATTATGAATAGTAGGGGGCCGAGGACAGATCCTTGAGGAACCTCAGATACTACATGAGAAGGAGCAGAGGTTAACATGTTCAACTGAATAAATTGAGTTCCCCTCTCCATGGACATCTTGTGGCGCTACAACATCTTCGCCTACCCTCCCCTGCCCCTTTTTTTGCCGGTGGGTGGTGCCTCGGTCTGCCTGCATATCCACAGCTCCTGTGCCGGGGGCGGGAAGTTTTTGGGATCTGTCGGGTCACTCCCAGATCTCTGGGCGCTGTCGTGCCCGCGGCGGGGTTGGTTGCCCTTGGGTCCCGGACCGCCGTGTTCTGAGCTCGGCCAGCTCAGGGGTGGGCGGCTGCGGGTGGACCTGGGGGCATGCCGTTGTTATCTCCCAGGGCTGTGACGGCTGTTGGTTGCGGCCCCCGGAGTAATCCTCTCCGCCCCTCAAGAGGGGGATTGGGGCTTCTCCGGCGGCTGTCTGCCTGGGGTTCCTGAGCTTCGAGGAGACCCTTTTGACATCAGGCATGGCATTACAGCATAAGCTATAACGCCCCACCTGTGAGGGTAAAACTGTAAGACTTGACTTCGGACATCAATTATGATTGCATCACACCTGCGCAGGGCACGATAAAAATAAATAAATAAATTGAGTTCTATTTGTACGATTTGACTTAAACCAGTTAAATGGAATGTGAGAGATACCTTTTGTAAATTAATATCATCTGGAGGTAGTTTTAGAGAGCAGCTCATGTACTGGTGTGTGTTGTAATGGATTTTAATAATGCAGCACGTTACATGATGTCCCGCTCACTACATGTCTGACTGTGAAACATCACCCAGTGTTGCAGCTCTGTTTCACACACTGTCCTCAGATCACATTTAGCACATAGTGCTGCCTCCTCTGCAGCCTTCACTCAGATCAGCCTTGGATGGGCACAAAAGAATAAATCAAAACAGGAACAATGAGAAGATGTATGGAAGAATTAAAGTTCCATAAAGATGCAGGAAGCAACGATGATGTGTTCCCAGGAGCAAACAGGATGATGTCCCCTCTGATGTTTTGTTGCATCATAAATCTGTTGGTAATAGACGTTGAAGCAAAAACACAGTGACCTCAGCTTGCCTACATCAGGTTCTGCTGCAGCCTGAGCTGTGAACGGGAGCAGAGGATTGTGTGAAAGTGTGTGTGTGTGTGGGGGGGGGGCATCTGTTGTCAGCATTTGCCTGGCTTTCCCTCTACAAGGAAGGATTTGTTCAGCCAATCAGAGCACAGAAAGTCAAATGGTTGCTTCTCCCTTCCCATCAATTGCCACACACACACACACACACACACACACACACACACACACACACACACACACACACACACACACACACACACACACACACACACACACACACACACACACACTCACACACACACTCAATTCTTCATCTTTCAGCTGAGATTTGAGAAGAAAGTGAAAATGAGTTTGAGCTGCAGATTTCTTCCTCTGAGTGCAGAAAATGAATCTTATGTAACTGTGACTCGCCTTTGTGTATGTGTGTGTGTGCGCGCGCGTGTGTGTGTGTGTGTGTGTGTGTGTGTGTGTGTGTGTGTGTGTGTGTGTGTGTGTGTGCGTGCACGCGCGTGTGTGCAAGCATGTGCATATTGGGTATATTTTTATGAAATTCTCAGAAAATGATCATTGCATGATGACTGCACTGGCTAAATTTTGGGGTCAAACTAATATGGCCGCCACAGCAAAACGATCTTAGCTAACGCAACAACCAGCTAAAGTTTCAATATTGAGCTCATGTTTGATGTTTTGGTAATTTAGAATAACCAACAACACAAACTCTGAGTTCTAACAGTGGCAACATCGTTCCTGATGTTATTTCTGAACATCAAAGGATTTTTGGATTAAAATTGTAGCTTGAATGCTGGTTGGATGATATTCAATCCTTCAAGGAATGATAAGCATTTAAACCAAGTTTCTGCTAGTCTGCAACATGAATCAGGTTTTGTTAAAATACTTCACCCTCATGAATCTGTTTACATTTAAAGGTTTAAATGAGACATATGATTTCCCACCTTTATTCTTCTTTATGTATGAGAACTTTATATCTTCCCTGATGAGAAATCAGGATTTTTTACAGTCAGTTTTTCTAAGATGTCCTGATTTTAGACATCACGGTGATCACAGATCTAAGTGTTTGTTATATAACACCACTCTGTGCTACCTACACTGATGATTTAGGTGTAGATCTAATGCTCTTATGCAGCGCCGCCTGCAGCACAGCCAGTGGACCAGCACAGGAGGATCTAAACTGCAGTTACAGAACAATAAATGCAACTGTGTATTCAGACCGTAAAGGTCAGAGACAGGTCTCTAAAAATAGATGGCTTGCAATTTCCTTTCATCTTGAGGCTGATCTTGTATGATTGAGAGGGAAGATCTAAAGCAATGCCTTCAAATCATGTTTGTGTCTCGTGTTAAAAACATTTTTATGAAAAGTAAAGTCATTTAAAAATGAAAAATAAAAAGTCTGTTGGGTTTTTGATGCACAGCCTCCGTCTCACAATACAGGGTTTGCCTGATTTTGTATTAAGGAAATAATAAATGATTGAGGTGAAACAGGTGGGCTTTGCTCAGGGTAAATACTTCAGCTGTGTAAGAACAGCAAGTCTTCCTCCAAAGGCTTGTGGATTACCACATTTTATCTACTTTAATCTTATTAAAAGGTCAGAAGCAAAAAAAAAAAAAAAAAAACAACCATTATTTAAAGATTTTATGTGTTGAATGATGTGTTTGTCCAAGGCTGGGCCTGGTTTGGGTTTGCACACCAACATTAATCTCTGTTATGAGCTAAGCCATCCAGCTGCTTGATTTGGTTTCAGATTTTCACACAAAAAACAAGAAAGCATTTAAATTCAACTAAATCAATCACCTTCTCAGTGGTAGAGTGTCCGCCCTGGGACTGGGAGATCGAGGTTCAAATCCTGGTCAGGTCATACCAAAGACTGGGACAATGGGACCCAACGCCTCCCTGCCTGACACTCAGCTTTAAGTGGTTGGATTGGGGGTTTAAACCCCCAAATAGTTCCCGAGTGCAGCCACTGCTGCAGCTCACCGCTCCCCTCAGGGAAGGAATCACATGCAGAGATGAATTTCACCAGTGTGTGTGATGACTTTAACTTTAATAAATCTTAATTTGGTTTAAACTTCCTTCATTTTGCAGAGATTATTCATTACATCAAAACAAGAAAGGCTGAATTAAGTAAGTGATTTCACAAGAATACTACAATGCATTTACTGATGAATATCAGTCACAAATGCAAAAACATAAATATCTTCTTGTTATTTAAGTGCTTAAAAAGCCCTCCAGCAGCTGTGGATGCTGCAATTTTCACATAAAGATAAAAAATCTAACTGACACTTCCACAGGAGTGGTAAAAATCTGCTCCTAAACTGATCTAATCACGTATTTGTGAGAGGTTGTGCAAAAGCATGTGAATGAGCTGTTATAATATCTAACAGAACTGTTTTAATCCTCCAGGACACGGCAGGTCAGGAGCGCTACCGTACCATCACCACCGCCTACTACCGAGGAGCCATGGGCTTCATCCTCATGTATGATATCACAAACGAGGAGTCCTTCAACGCCGTCCAGGACTGGTATGTCTGATGTCTGAAGGACAGGTTTTCACAGGAGAAGAGCGTAAGCTGACACCTAGCTGCAGGAGGAAGAGATGCTGTGAGGATGGAGGATAAAATGTCATTATAGACTAGAAATAGACACAGATATATGCAGGAGCCGATGAAGAGGTTCGGATTCCAGGATGTTTTTATCGATGGAGGGTATCTGCTTATCGTCTGTCTGCAAAGAATCAGATGTTTTTGTCTCACTAAGACAAAATAAAACCACAAAGCATTTTCCCAGTAGCAGAAAAAGAAATAACACTGCAGTTTGAAGGGACTATAAGGAAGTTTGACAGTCAAAACATGTATAGAAATAATACATTTCTTCTTCATACATTCTCCTGCAATGTCCTGGTCCTGTAGAATGAGCCCTGGCATTTTTACTGTGATTGCCTGTTTTTCTGTAAAATCACAGAAAAAGAGAGATGCTCGGGTCGAGCAGGCTGCTTCATGCGCGTTCACGCTCAGGCATCGCCCGTAGCATTTGCTATCAGTAGCTTTAGCAGCAGAGAGTGAGGTAGTGCCAACTCAGCGACTTTGTCACTGTTCCTAACGCCTAGTGATGAACCTAGCTACATTTCTGAGAACCCTTAGCTACTTTCTGTAGAACTTTCTTCTAGATATTTCCTGCAAATTAGCCACAAAATAGCCATTTTCGCTCCGAACTGTTTGTCAGATTGACGTTGTTTCAGCTGTCATCAAGGATATAAATGTTACAGATAAATTGACTGTCATTGGCACTTTAGCTCACCTAGTAAGGTGTCTGACTCTCATGCAGAAGACCTGGGTTTGACTCCAGTTATCGACATAATATGTCATTTAGAGTTTCTTTTTTACATTAATGATATATTTTTTACAGTAAGAAGACGCTCAAATTTTTATTTGAGACTCGCCAAAAGGCATTGAATTCACAGATAGAAAGATGTGGGTTCAACTTTCATTTTGGAACATTTTTTCAAGCAAGGGAAGGGAATGATCTGAGCATGCATGAGGACTGAACCATCGTAAACCTTTGTCGGCTGTGCTGAAGAGAAAGGTACAGAACCAAATTATTTAATTAATTAGCTGCACATTCTCCTGTCCTCTGTCCTCCGGGCCACACACACAAGGGACTGTCTCAGCTGTTTTTTTTTTCTCTTGTCCAGTCTGGCTGTGAAGCAAACAGAATTGATGTCTGAATGATGGTAACAAGCCTTACAGATTTACTCTCAGGTGGAGCATCAAAGCGTCTGCTTTTAATGTCACGCCTGATACTTAAAACTTTGTTATTGTTATTGAATGCTTTTTAATTCCGACCAGACACGGAGACAGAGGGGAAAGAGAAAGGAAGAGACAAAGGGGGGGGGGGGGGGGGGTCCCCACAAAAGTAAACAATAATGAACAAGAGTCTGCTTCTAGACCTGCAGAAAGAGAAAGAACAAAAAACCAACAAATAAAAAATCGGACACAACAACAATACATCAAGATCAAGCTATCACTGCGTCAACTTGATGAAGAAATATATTTAATCAACATTGTTTAACTGAACAATCACATGATAATAAATCACAGTGCATTTAGTGCCCACCATAGTCTTAAGACCTGTGTTGAACGTGTCCAAGTCCATACTTATGAGAGCACCATGTGAGCACCTGTGTGTGTACACGCGCTTGTTTATGTAAGGTTTCTCTATAGGAGCGTCCAATAGAGAGTGTGAGGGGCCACAGATTTGCCCCCCAAAGATGTGCAGGAGATAGAGGGAGCTCCAAGTCCTAGAGATCCAGGAGCTGCCCCAGAGCACAGGAACCCCAGGGAGACTGCGACCAGTAAAGCCCCTGCCCCCCTCGAGAGGCGCGGAGGATTGCCCCGGGGGGCCACAACCAGCAGCCGGCAGTGTCCCAGCAGGTATCGACGGCAAGCCCACAGGCCCGCCCGCAGCCTCCCACCCCCTAGTCGGCCGAGCCCGGGACCCAGCAACCCGGGACCCAGGGGCGACCACCCCCGCCGGGGACCCAGCAGAGCCCAGGGACCCAGACTCCACCAGGCAGCCACCGGGATTGGTCAGGAAGATGCCAAAAATCTTAAACTCCCTGACCCGGGAGCCACGAACACTCAGGCAGACCAAGGCACCGCACTCCACACCAGGTGTGGCAGGGAGAGGGAAGACAAAGATCTATATCAAAAGAACTCCCAGGAGAAGGGAGGAGTCAAAGCCCCCACCGGACATACACAGTCATTCACAATCACAGTCACACACTCCCTCCCTCATGCTCACACATACACATACAACCAGAGACTTACAAAAATGCATGCCGGACACCCACTCATGCTCCCCAAACACACCCTATTCACTCTGGTACCGGTACTGCTGCACATGCGGTACAACCATTACCAGTTCCAAGAGTTCCACCCTTTCTGTTGGGGTGCTGATGAGCAGGCTCCCCCGCCCAACGCTGAGCACAGCAACCCACCACCCCAGACCCCAACCAGACGGCCAGATCTCTCTCCTAGCCTCCAGCCCCAGGAAGCCAAGCAACAACAGAGGTGTGCTAAGACCCCTAGTCTCCCTCCGCCTGCTCCAATATGGTGTTAGTGAGTGTTGATGAGGTGTATTCCATGGCTGTGGTGAGCGGGCAGTGCGGGCATCGTCTGGCCTATGCCAGCTGATGCCACCACACCACCCCACTTGCACCTACAGCCCTCAGTGTCTAAGTGTAGTTTAAAATTGGAAGTGGGCACCGGCACTTAGGATGAGGCTGAGAAATCCCCCTGCCAAATGCCGTTGATGTGTTCACTCCCAAGGCCCTAAGTGTGTGTTTGCATGGAATGTCGTTGGTGGAAGTGTTTAAGGTGCAAATAAAATTGGGGGGCAGGTTGCCACAGGAATGCGGAAATGGAGTCCATACCCACACCCCCTGACTTGTCCACCCCCCAAGGTCCTATGTGCATGATTGTGGGATGATGTGAGGGAGCAGGAGGAGAGAAATGCGTGTGGATGGGGAGGAATGGCTGGTTGGGCTTAGCCCTCCAGGGAGCCAGCTCCCCCACTGGCTCCAATAGGCACCTCTGTTGCCAAAATGCCACCCAGGGCATGTAGACCCCAGCCCATCCTGCCAGGGCCCAAAGCAGCAGCATCACAGAGCCTCACGGAGTCCGAGGGCACCAACCTGGCCCCACCCCAGCAGAATATCTACACCCATCCCTGCATTTGTACAACTTGCAGCTGTTATTTTCGTTAAGGAGTGTGCACATACAGCGTGCACACCTCATGCACGAGCTTACTTTTGAAGCTGCAGTTACACGTTAGGCCTGAGCGGCGATCGCGAGCATAAAAACTTCAAACTTCCTTACAGTCCCTTTAATGAGTACAAAAGCTTATCAAATGTGGTTTATTGTGACAAATATAACAAAAATGTCAGTAATTGTGTTTGTGTTCCTAGGTCAACTCAGATTAAGACGTACTCGTGGGACAACGCCCAGGTGCTGCTCGTAGGAAACAAATGTGACATGGAGGACGAGCGAGTTGTGAACGCAGAGAGAGGCCGGCAGCTCTCCGAGCATCTGGGTGAGTTCTGACTTCTCTAATAAAGGGCTTGCTGATGTGTGTGTGTGTGTGTGTGTGTGTGTGTGTGTGTGTGTGTGTGTGTGTGTGTGTGTGTGTGTGTGTGTGTGTGTGTGTGTGTGTGTGTGTGTGTGTGTGGTTGTGGGTGTGGGGGGGCGGGGGCGGGGTCCTTAGGGTTTAACCCAGGGTGTCATTTGACCAGCAGGTGAGTCCAGCCTCATGCAGTTTTGATGTGACTTTTAGAGTAAAAGCAGAGACCAGAAAAATAAGACTCAAAATAAAAAAAAGTACATTCTGACTCAATAAAGCATAAAACACTAAATATAAATTCTCCCTTAGAGAGAAGCGCTGTCATCCGGGAGGGGCTCGGAGTAGAGCCGCTGCTCCTGCACATTGAGAGGAGCCAGTTAAGGTGGCTTGGGCATTGGATTAGGATGCCTCCTGGACGCATCCCTGGTGAGGTTTTCCGGGCACAACCAACTGGAAGGAGACCTAAAGGTAGACCCAGGACACGCTGGAGGGACTATGTCTCTTGGCTGGTCAGGGAACGCCTTGGGATTCCCCCGGATGAGCTGGTCCAAGTGGCTGGAGAGAGGAAAGTCTGGGCCTCTCTGCTTAGGCTGCTGCCCCCGTGACCCGACTCCGGATAAGTGGATAAAAATGTTATGGATGGATTCCCCCATACATTTTATTTGGGAGTTTAGAGACGTTGAATGTTGCTTGTTTTCTCTTCCTTCCATTCTGCTTCACCAGCAACTCTTCCAATTTTACAAATGCCAGTTGTTTGACGACGTCTGCTGATATAATTTCCCACTGAGTTACAACTAGTGATGGGTCTAGCAACACTGACGCACCGGTGCACATATCTGGCTCATTAGAGTGGCACCCGTGTCGGTGTGCGCATCGTTTAGGAAGTAGTCATGTGACCGAAACAGCTGCTGTTTCGCTCGTCAGTGAAGCGTTGAACTGTGTTTACATACAGGAGCGTCTCCCTCTGTCAGCGGGATGAGTTTCTGCCACCACAAGTACATCTTTTGAAGCAGAATTATTCCACTGTTGCATCAAGGAGCCAGAAAGAAAATGCAAGGGATTATTTTGTTCTTTACCGACAAATAAGTTATTTGTTTTTATTTCCTGTTGCTCTCATTTTTTACTTGATCAATCATAATTTTGTTTCTAAATTGTTCTTTTTAAATAATTCATACTATTTAATGCAGGTTAAACATCACATTAGTTAAACTGAGCTTACATACATAAATAAAAGAATGCTGAGACATCTCAGAGAAACGCGTGGGAATTTGGCCGTCCCACCAGCCGTCAGAGCGGTGGGGTGGGGGTGGGGGGTGCTGACCGGACCGGCCCAAATTGGATAAACAGCCCACTGGGACTTGATGTCAGTAGAGTCTCACTAAGAGGTTTGCTTGCAGTGCCAGCAGGTGTCAGTAGACCAACATGGTGACCCGGTATCGATACAGTTAATGTGCCGAAAGGCTTCACAAGGCCTCATCTGCCCATCACTAGTTACAACCAATAAGCATGGGTTAATCACAAGTCCCACCCAGCCAGTCTACTGGGCTGTTTCTTTGCACATGCTCCAGTTCAGAAACTCGGTTGTTCCCTGAAGGTCCGATAAAAATCACCAGACGTTCCTGTAGTGGAACCAGGCCATTTGAAATGTTGTTGTGAGCCCTTAGTGTAAAAATGCTCAGCAGATCTAACACATCTTCCTTTACTGAAGGATGTCACTAAAGTGCATCTCATGATAAAACACTACTTGAAGCTGTAATTAATAATTATTTTCTCCCTCGCCACCTGTTTCTGTTTCTCCTCCAGGTTTCGAGTTCTTCGAGGCCAGCGCCAAGGACAACATCAATGTGAAGCAGACCTTTGAGCGCCTCGTCGACATCATCTGTGAAAAGATGTCAGAGAGTCTAGATGCTGGTGATCCTGCTGTTACAGGGGCCAAGCAGGGGCCCCAGCTGACAGAGCAGCCCGCCCCTCCTCACCAGGACTGTGCATGTTAAAACTGACTCATATCCTAAATCCTTTCCCTGCTGTCTTTTGCCCTTGTACTCCTTCAGCTGGACCTCTGGTCCTCAGATCTTTACCTGCTTCTTTTTGTTTGTTCATTGGTTGATAACTTCAAGAATCAGGCAGAAAAGTGTTCGGTTTCTCCTCATAAATCAACTGCAGGCTTGTTTTTATCAGTGCAGGTCAGTTAAACCAGGTTCAGCAGAACCGGAGCATTTCAGACCCTTTTGCAGTCCAGGTTCTTGATGGTTTCCCTGACCTTTGGTGTGATTTTGCAGAAGGATTTGACGGCGTGTGCCCTCAGAGTGCCATTTAAGTCCTTCCAAAATTTACAAAACTTTCTTTCATGTCAATCAAATGTTTAAAAAAGATGAAAACCTTGGTTGGAGTGATGGAAAAGCCCCCAGTGGAGATCTGTCAGCCACATTTAATTTAGTTTTTCCTTCCTTTTTAAACTTGAAAACTGCAGGAATTAGTAAAAAAAAAAATACATTTGAAATGCTCAGTGGAGCATTATCATGCAGCCTTTTATTTTTTTTTTTAAACTATGATCTTTTCTTTTTCAGTCTTTTACTAAAACGAAAGAAAAAATAAACAAGCTTTAGCAAAAAGAGCAAAAAGCAAAGAGACACCTTTATTTAATATTTATTTCAGATGTACATACGTATAAATGTTGTGCAATATAAACATATATATAGAAAATATCTACAGGTATGCACTACTAGAAAAACATTTTAGAAAGTCTGATGTTCTGTAAGGAAAGTATTAGATATTAACGGTCTGTGTTTGTTTGGGTTTGTGCGAGCTGCTCCTCCTCCTCAGAGAATAACTCATCCCCCACTGGTGGCTCCTTTTGAAACATGTAAAAATTTGACTTTGAACTGAGAATAATGTCACAGATGACTCAATTCTGTGGGATTTACAACACTAACAACTGGCATGAGTTTGTATGTGACAATAACACTGATTTGAACCGGAGTTGAACTTTTATCGACATCCGTGAGTTTGTTGTTGACGTCCCCTTTGTTGTTGTTCTTGTCGGTGCGTGCAAAAGACTAAAGAGTATAAAAATGCTGCATCTTTAACATATTCCCACGTCCTATAAATCATACGGATGTGTGGTTCAGAGAATGGAAATGATGTGTTGTTTTTATGGTATTTTGCTTTAATCTCGAGGAAACACCAGGAGAGGTCCTGAACGGAGTTTGTTGACTTTCGCTGGTGGAGCTCTTCAAGCACGACGCTTCATTTAAACTAAACACGACAGCCACATATCTGTTTTGTTATCTGCTAACAGAAATATTCCGCTGACATTGGGAACATTTTGAAACCATCGGGGATCATTGTGATCTAAAGGATCCAGGCTGCCGGGAGTTTGTAAAGAAAAGCAGGAAATTCAGAGGCTGAAGGTCTAAATGCTGAAGGAAAACGTATCAAACATCATCTCGATTCTTCACGTTTCTTAGCTTCTAGGAAAACAACCTGAGAGTCGGCTTTAGAGCAGCTTCACTGGCTTGCTTGCCGCCTGTTTTATGGGATTGTGTCCGTCTTCAGGTAAATCCTGAACTGGGCGGCTGCTGGAGGAGTATGGTTGGCTGAGCAAACAGCTGGAGCTATTTACAGCTGTTTATAAAGTCAACAAGACAGTTTTCCTGGGCCTGCCCTCTCCCAGAAACTGTTATGACTCACGTTTTAATTAGTTTCCCTTAAACTAAAATAGTTTTTGTTTACTGAAGATTACTGCAAACGCATCTAGTTGTTGCTGCTTCTCAAAGCCAGGAAAAGATGTTTTATATATTCGGAGCTTTAATAGGAAAAAGGTTGTGAACCTTAACAATAAAATAAACACAAATGAGGAGGACTGAGAAAGCAAAGCACGATAAAAAGTGGGACAAAAGTAATCATAGACCAACAAAGTTGGTGTTTTTTTTTTTTAGGTTGAACTAATCTTATTGGTGTTTGTTTTGACAGAGAAAGAAGTCCCCAGTCAACGTTTCAGTGGTTTGAATCCCGTGTAGCTTTTACTTCTTACTGGTCGTGACTGTTTTGATTTCAGATAAAGTCTAAACTTATGACCCGTTCTCCCTTCTAATACGTCTTCCTCTCCATATAAGCCTGGTTTGTAAATACTCTACCTATGAGTCATGTGTGGATTGTGTTGTATTGACTCAGGCTTGCATCAAAATAAAAATCACTCAAGAAAAAAGCAGAAAAGATCTGAAAACTCCAAAAGAGTCATGTTGTACTGTATCTGCGTTTATTTCTAGGCCTGCTTGTGAATGAATGTGTCACTCAGTTATGAAGCAGTGCACTGCCCACGCCAGCGTAGTCCAGAAAAACAAACGCCATCCAGCTTGGTAGAGGTTGCCGACCGTAGATCTTCGACGACGAGCACGCAGAAACTTTGATCTTGTGTCACTGCCTCTTCAGATCCTTTCCATTTGGGCCATTAAAGTGAGAGAATATGCTGTGGATGTTTTTATCTGTATTTTGTGGTAAAACAATAAAAAAATATGCTAAAAATTTGATTGTTGTTTTTGAAGAAAATATATTCTTTCAAATAAAAAAGTTACAGATGTACAATTTTCAAACCTCCATAGTTGTTTACATCACGCTGAATTAGACTGTTTATTAATAAATAAGAATTTAAACTGAAAAAAGTTTTTTTCTGAGAAAGTAAAATAAAATAAAATCGTTTTAAGACATTTTACTTATTTTTAGCCCAAAAAGGCAGAAAACAAATCTTCTCTACTAAAATAGCATCACTTAACACTAGAGCACCCAAGTCATTTAGACTTTTCATATTTTAA